TGCACTGACGTCACAAATCCTTAGAGTGTCCTCCAGATGCTCCCTAACAATATCTGTTCGGGTACAACCACCACATACAGCGCAAAAACTAACCATTTTGATACAGAATTATCATAAAGATTTACAAAATTTGCTTTGTTTACAAAAGTTATATTATGCGTAGATTGCTAATTTGTCCTCCAGATGCATCGTCACCGGCGCTGTGACGTCATGTGCAATGGGCCTATTGGCACTACACTCACTACCTACACAGACAGTTCAAGATGTTATCCGTAGAGTCTTAAGAGTGATGTTTTGTTGGACAAATGTTACTTTAGGGCGAAAGCTCAGCTAAACTAACTTTATCTTTATACTAGATAGAGCTCTAACAGTTCTAAACTGTTTTCACTAACTACTGTGGTGAAAATCACATGCACCAACGCCCTTGGCATATACCGACCTGATATCTCACAACCAACGTATACACCGACGTCTTTGGAATGGCGATGTTAAATACGATAGAACGAGCATCAGAAGTACCGTCAATGAGGACACCAGTTATATTAGATGTTTCATTATGATACTCAGCGCTAGGGTTAGCCTAGTACAACAGAAATATATTTGAGATGATGTTACCAGGGGCGGATCTAATCTCATCTGCAAGGCCCGCCTTGTTGTTGAAGACAACGTAAGTAAGTTGTATGCTTGATTTACAAAGTACAACCAAGTTGTAAGCAGTGTGTGGTGTGAATCGGCCTTATTAATTTACCTGTTCTGCTTCGTACGTCATTTCAGGCACTCCCGGGACATAGTACCCAGGTTGCAAACCCGCACAGTTACGACCAGAGAACTTCTCCCGACAGTAACAATTCCCGCTAGTCTGGTCACATGTGATATTGACAGAACCAGTAGGAGAACACAAACAGTCTGCACAGGGGCTGGGATTTTCGTACGTCAAGCCATAGTAACCGTCCTAAGAAGACAGAAAATAATTACGTACATACATTCATACATAGACTTTATTTTAACACACTAGCCTCAACAACTATCATGCGGGTACAAAACATAATGATAGGAACATTACAAAGGTACTCTCTACATGACACAACAAGAAGATAGACTGAGATTAACAAGCTGGCTTCAATGGACCTATTCCCTAATGAACAAAATTTTGATCTAGAGAAGTCTGGACAAAAATTTTGTCACGGTTTGAAAGAGCATCACAAAATTAGTAATATTATGAAGTTTCGTTGCGAAATGTTGTAAAATGCGGATAATATAAAAGTTTGCCGTTTTTCAGTTTTAATGTATTACACGCGGGAAATTGATACCTTTTTTCAGAAAGCGGTATCAATTTCCCGTGCGTAATACAAAATGACTGAAATTAACAGCAAACTTCGCAGGGCTATATTATCCGCATTTTACAACATTTCGCAACGAAACTTCGGAATGTTACTAATTTTGTGATGCTCTTTCAAGCTGTGATAAATTTTTTTTATAAAATAACATGTATATAACGCGTATTCTGATTGGTCGAAACCCGTGTTTGGATCAGGCCATCCAAACACGGAAGACTATCGTGTTGTTGTTATTTTATAAAACTATTACTTTATGGTTTCCGTGTTTGGATGGAATGATCCAAACACTTGGGAATGTTGCTCGAGTTAAGAAAAGCGGGCCAAATCACTCGCCTTCGGCTCGTGATTTCGCTCGCTTTTCTTAACCCTCGCAACATTCCCGCGTGTTTGGATCAGGCCATCCAAACACGGAAACCATAAAGTAATTGTATAGTCTAGACTTGTCTAGATCAAAATTTTGTTCATTAGGTATATTAGGGAATAGGTCCATTGGGCATTGTTTGTTTCACAATCGTTTTGAATAGAAAACCAAACTGGAAGCACTCTTCTCATATAATATGCAACTGAGGTGAAATTATAACCGGACAACTGTGGTGCATAATTATAATTAGGCACATTCACATGAAACTGTGTCCCTTGTTCCAGTGTCACTATTACCTCACATTCAGTACATTCCAAGCCAACTAAATGTTCACGACATGGACACTGTCCTGTCTCCTTGTCACAGACAGTGGAACCTCCCAGTGTACCAGCGGGCTCACATACACATTCTAGAAGATGAAAACATTCAATACACATATAAATGCCAGCAGCAAACATGTGAAGATTACATGTAGCATTCATTCAAAGTAGACTAGCTAGACAAAACATACTCTTCTGAAAGGTTGTCTCAATGTTTCTATTCACATTGCGCCCCACTTTATTATTTTACTTCCATTTTACTAATGCCAGACCTGCCCACGTGACTAGTTAACCATTAAGTTGCGTTGCACCTCACTTCCTGTTTTTTGCTCTGCCAAATACCAACAATTTTACTTTTATTAAGGGGAGAGTGGCTCGCAATTAGCAATTTGATATCCCAAAGTCCTGGGTCTAGTCATGCAAATCCCATGTTGGAGGGACAAGAAATATGGCAGCACACATTTAAATTAAATTTTTAATGTTTAAAGGAGGTATTTCATTTTTGGTCGTCTAAAAAGTTTATTTGATACTGCTCTTTCACATATTTGATGCCTGTCACCATATATTTTGTCCCTCCAAATGATCCCAGAATGCACTGTGATCTTTTTTGGGAAAAGGCTAATTTCATTATAAGAATTTCATTATATTTATTATAATTTCATGGATCGTCACTCATAAGCTCATTTGTCACTATTATCATATATAGTACAAAATGTAGTGTATTTCTTTGTTTCTTGAACAATGGTATTGACAGAAAGAAAATTTTAGAGTATGTTCACTTACTTTGACATCCATAAGGGTTTGCTTTCGTTAAGTTCCAATAACCATCTTCGCACTCGCCACAAGTTCTACTAGTGACATTTTCTTTGCAATCACATAGTCCCGTAGTTTGGTCACATTGCTCACTTCCTGGTTCTCCCGTTATACCAGAAGCATCGCAGTTACACGCTGTGAAAATCAAGTCAACTTTAGTTGAATTATACTGCATTTTGCAAATTGAATTGATCAGGAGAACTCAAATTACCATTTTGACTGGGGCTTAATTACACACATTAGAGCTATAACTGACCTTGGCATCTGTCTGGATGGTCAATAGGCACCAGATATTCATAGTACAATGGTAAACATTGGTCACAATTGTCACCAGTGGTAAAACCTGTACAGTTCTGACAAACACCATGGCCGTTGACCTGGTCATATTCACACCTTGATGAATGGTTGTTGCACTCGCATTCTGAAAATTGAGTATGAAAATTAATGTTTAATTGAGGGGTGTTTCAAAGATTTTTTGATAATTGGTATCCAGGTAACCTACCAGCACAAACTTTCCCTGATTCGTATTTCTCGTTGTTGAACAATGGAAGACACTCTTGACAATTGTCACCCGTTGTGTTTTTCAGACAATTACATTTCCAGCTTTCCTAAAAATGGCAGCAAGATTGGTATAAAACTATTTTGTTCAAAACAGATTTACACTCTTCCCAGTAATGACCCAATCTATGTGATGCATTAGTTATTTCTACTTTATAAATTACCTCTGTGTTACATTCCGCAGATTGTCCATTACAGTAACAACTTCCACGGATATACCAATCCTTAACAGCAAAGTAGAAATTTCTTTCATCCGCCACAGCGGGGTCAAACCCCGGGGGAGCCTCAAACATAACCAAAACCATTCGGAAATTGGTAGCTAGAAATTTTTGTTGTAACGTGTAATTTTGGTGTATATTTTCCGCAAACTGTTGATCTCTCCAAGGCTGGTAGGATGCCTAGAAAATAAAGACAAGAGGGCTGTAAACTACTCGGTCTGCAAAGGATACACGACTCTTGCAGACCTACCAGTTAGGGGCATGCAAGCAAGCTTAGGTGAGGTGGACAGTGGGAGTAAGTTTAGGTGGGGGGAGCAAGTTTAGGTGGGGGTGGGAGCAAATTTAGGGGTGGGAGCAAGTTTAGGGGTGGGAGCAAGCTTAGGGGTGGGGGCAAGCTTAGGGGGCAGGTGGTGTGGGGGCAGCACCTCAAGCTGGAACAGCTGGTACAAATATTTCCGGGGGGAAATAGGAGGGTGCATATATGTTTCATAATTCTGTACAATTTTACACAAACCTTCAGTTCATTATTAGCAGAATCAAGTCGAAAACACTGCACAATAAAACCATCACGGTCATTTTCTTCTGCAGCAGACATATTAAAATAATTATCACAATCAGATGAAAAGTACGCCAATGTTTGCCAGCTCGCTCCGTCGTCTTCAGACTTTGAAAAATACATTGCCGCAGGATAATTGAACTCAAATGTCGCTGTAACCTCGACAAAGAAATAGGAATGTCCCAAATTTAATTCTAAGACTACATTTGTATCCAAATTCTTAGATTTCCAAAATGTATCGTCGTCTACTGTATCTATGGTTAAATTCACGGCATGCGAGTTCGAAGGCACTGCGTTATTGCATTGAAAACCACATTGTAGATTTGTTGTTAACACGCAAAATTCTTCATTAATATTGCTCAGACCACAAGTAGAATTTGCAGTTATCGAAGCGCCACGGACTGTTTCAAGATCCAATGTCGGTGGAAAACAAGATTCTCTTGTACAAACGTTCGAATTTGCGCCGCGAAGTATCAAACTCGATGTAAAAATCAGTGCTGTCAGATGGTACACAACACAAGAATTCATGTCGGTATAAGTTTTAAAACAACGTTCCTTCAACTCTACAAAGCTTTCCCCAGCATAACAGTGACTGCTCTGTTGAAATAAACCTCTGTCTTGCTGTAAAATTCACAAATTCCGATACAGGACGGTATAAATCTTTTCAGAATTCGTTGTTTAATTAGCAATTTTCATATTAAAAGAATGCGCTTTTGGGACACCGAACTCAAGTGCTCTGCAAGTATTGAGAATTTAACTAACCATGAAATGAAAAAACACGTATCACAAAAAACTGTGAACAAAATATCTTCCAATTTAAATTTTGTTACATTAATACTTGCTACTTTATTCAATAAATATAAAACGATATGAAATATGTCTGTTTTCATACCAAGAACGATTAAATAAGCTTTCTTTTTCAGATTGTTTTCAAATTCTCCTTACATGTTTCACTTCCGCTTGAAGAAGAAGACGCTGTTATGGCGTCCTAGCAACAAGGCAAAAAAACAACAAAGTTTTTGCAATGTCAACTTGTACATACATAATTTCAAGTTTATTGACTAAAGAATTGACAAGTCCTTTAGAAAATCGATATAATGTTAATTTGTTAGTTATGTTTAGCTTTTATTTATTATATTCATTATTTAATTACATAATTATTGCGTCTAAATATTAGAGACACCAGTTGCGGTATACCAACATTAGAAGGGATTTGTAAAGATTGCGAGTGTGGATTTTATACATTTAGTTAAGACTTAACCAGGAGCAGTTGCGAAAAATGCAACTCTAGGCCCTCTGGCAGGAATCGAATATGTGGTCTTGTCATTCCGTTCCCTGCTAGCAGAGACCCCAGAGTATCCTTTTCACGGCGGAGCTTTCCCTTCGGCTTCGCCGTGAAAGCGATACTCTGCTAGTAGGGTAGCCATTCCTCTAACTAATTGAGCTACAGAGGCCAGTGGCCGGGCAGTGACTAAGACCCGGTTTAGACGGCGAACTTTTCATGCGCCGAATCTAATTGTCGTAGATACGGCAAAATATCGGAAACTGATTTAGACGTCGAACTTAATTGCACCGTACCAAATTGCGAGGACACTATATTGGAAATATTTACAATGCAAATATATGATAATCATATTATGATGTTAAAAAATAATTATGCATTAGGTTCGGCGCATGAAAAGTACGGCGTCTAAATCAATGTCGAACCTGTGTCGCATATACGACTTGTCCTGTCGCATCTTCGAGTCGTGTCGAACTTAATCAAAACCTGCCGAACTTAATTGATTTAGACGCCGCTCCAGCGTCGCACTTAATCCTTGCA